AAAAAAAAAAAAAAAAAAAAAAAGGAAGGGGGGAGAGCGGGGTGTGAAGAAAGCACAACTAGAAAGTTTAAGACAGCATCCTTTCTCCAGGAAAAAAAAAAATAAAAGCAGAAAAATTTATCTTTAGGTACATTTCTCTTGCTGCATTAATACAGCACGTGTTTCAAAAGGAATGATTCAGTGGCGTGAGGAGAATACCCGGCAGGCTGAGCAGGGAGAGCAGCCTGGGTTTAGCCGGAGGAAACTGGACATTTTGGGGAATTAATTTCTAATTTCTCGCGCCTGGCCCGAGCCGCAGGCCGGCAGATGGCATCACGCTCATGCCGTTGGGTGGGAGCTGCGGGGCCTCAGCCATCGCTCGGCTGTGCAAAATAATCGCTGGGCGCAGCACCCAGAGGGTGCCGAAGGTTTGCGCCGTCGGCCCGAACCACGAACCAGATTTATCTGCCGTCTCCTGCCTGCCTGAGCCCGGGATCATTCCTCCAGCGGCGAGTGGCGTCGGGGTAAAGATCAGCCAAACCCGTCTGCACATCGCACGATCCATCCTCTGTGCTTCTCGGAGTGAAACACTGCATTAATGTGAGCAGAGGAGCCACGGCCTTATCCTGAACTCCTTAAAAAACAATGGGAGTCTCTATTGCCTTAATCTGGCTTTTAATGAATGACCTCTTGTCGCTGGGAGCTGCGTGCAGTGACAAAGGACCTTTGTGGGCCGATATTTATGATTTCATTTAAGCCAGGGAGTAAGCTAAGGGAGAGGGCTGGAAAATAAGAGCTATGCTGATGTTTCCTGCTTTAAACTCAAGGGATCTTTATCTAGTTTTCGTATTAATACAGTTGTCATCTCTTAAATATTTGAGCGACTCGCAGCCGCGAACGCTCCCACGCTGGAAGGACGCGCAGGTCGCGCTCGCCGACAGGGCAGGGAACGACTCCAGCTCTCCCCAGCCCCACACATCCCCCTAGGCTCTAACACTGGGGTGGGGGAAAGGTTTGGCATTTTCCTAGTATCCCCCCCAAAAAAATTCCACACCGCACGCAGGCCAAGCTCTGCTGTGAGAGCCCACGACCTGCTCGCGGGGGGCCGGCGTGCAGCCCCAGGCTGAGAGCAGCCACCGGCTCCGAACACCCTTCCCCGCACCAGCAACTTGCCAAGGCTGATAAATTTTTTTGCCTTTTCCTTCGGCAGGCCTTGGCGGCGGATTAAGCAGCTGGGATTCTGGAGTGAGAGTGCGTCCCCTCTCCTTTGCCATGCAAACAGAGAAAATTAATCTTCCAGCTTCCTCTGATATTTGGGCTGAATTACAAGCTGGGAGCGGAGATAAAGCGCGGGCGAAAGGAAGGTACAGGTACAGCGGAGAGGCGAGCTGCCTGGCACAGGCCTTTGTCCGTGCAGATAACGGCTCTTCCTCCCTGTGTCATGCATAATTCACCAGCGCTGCCTCCCTCCGTCCCGGGCAGCGCTCGCTCTGCTTTCACGGCTCCTCTTCTGCAGGAGCTGGAAGGCTCCTTGGCAGGCGAGGCCACGCGTGTGGGTGCAGAAGCACAGTCGGGCGTGGGGGAGCGAGCACGCAGGTGCCTCCGCAGACCCCGCGGGACGGGCAGATATCCACTGCCCCGGGGTGTTGGTGAGGGGACGTTGAACCCTCTACCCGGAGGCTGACGGAGCCGGGGTACCCACCACCGATCCAGCTAAACCGAACCAGCACGACAGCTTCACCCGCGGGTGATTTCGTATGCCCATCACATCCCAGCTCCGCTCACCACGCTATCTCCCTAAATCCCTCTGATGTTAGAGTCGGCTGGAGGTTACATCCTTCGGGATCCCAACCCCAGCATTAACAGACACCAACTGCATTTTATTTCGTCGATCATCCGGCGGCTTCTTCTGCACCATTCCCGACAGAACTGTGCCACACAGAGCGGAAAAGCCACGGAGGTTTTCCGTCGACGCCAAGAGTTTTTCGCAAGAACAAAGCAGAAATAACCCCGGTCACTCCCAGCCAAACAATGAACACAGACACCTGCTTAATTATTTTTGCTTTCTAAATGAAAGCAGTGCCGTGAGTTTAATAACCGCTGCTTGGGAGTAATTGGGGCGATTATTGTATGGCCCAGGGGGAAAATTGCAGCTTGTTATCTCCAGGGAGTAGCATTAGGATCCAGCGGATAATCAGAACGTTATTTGTTGCACTTTAGATGACATTTCTTATGGATTTAGAAGTGATAGTGATCAAACCGTGTTGTCAGAGCCACCCCCAAAGTGGGGAATCCAGAGACCTGTAAGGTAAATAGCATCTGAAGCTGCCTGGGACAGCTGCTCTTCCAGCAGGACAGCACGAATAACAGATGAATGTGCCACATTTGAGCTCAAACACTTCCAGATCTGAGCGTCACTCATCTCTTTTTTAATTTGATCTCCTCATAAGAGAGATGACACCCAGGGTGCTGCATGAGAGGAGGCAGAGGGAGGGGGGGGGATATCAGCTCTAACAGATGCTGCCAACCAGATCTATACTCAGCGATAAGCTCGCTTGAGACCTTCCCTCTGTTTCTCCCTCCCCACCCCAATCGATAGCCCCTGCCTGGCCTCTCGCCTACAGCAGCCCTGAAATTGGAGGCTCGGTCGGGAGCAACGCTCACACGCTGCTGGAGCATCAGGATTTTTGTCTGCACGGTCTCACGGAGCCCGTTGACGCTGGGCATCCTCCCCGTGCGTGCCACGATCGCTGCCCATCGGTGCTGCACCCCCTGTAAGACATTTGTGTGCTGTCGGGTTGTGGGTTTCAGCTCCTGGAAGGTTTCTGAGCCGGGGGAGACAGTTCCAGCAAACCCAGACGCGATGGCTGGGCAAGATGCAGCACAGCTCCTGGTGATGCCTCCCCAACACTAACCCTTCTCTCGGTGCCCCCAAACTGCAAATCCAGCCTGGCCGCAGGGGTGCAAAGAGGATTTTTAGCAAGGCCAAGCCCAGCCACAGCCTTTGGTGCTCTCTCTGATGGAGGTTTTCTGCAAAGGAGCGTTCCCAGGTCCTGGTTTGGGCTCTGCTCCCAAGGACAGGCTGGTGGATGACCGGGCAGCACCTCAGCACCCGCACGACGGCAGAAAAGAGGATCCTGCCGGGCCCAGGAGAGCGCTGAGCCAAGGCAGGCTCTGCTATCGATCCCCCAGTCAATGACAATTCAAGGCCTGGAAATGACAGCGCCTTTTCTGAGTCCTCAATTCCCACCCAAGGCTGGGCACGGGGAGGAGGGAGCTCGCTCGGAGGTTTAGCAATAATCCGAAGCGGGAGCGGAGACGGGAAGAGCCTCTCTTGCAGCAGGTGGGTTGTTTAACAAATTGGACACATAACGAGACAAAAAGGCACAGAGGAAGTAGATCTGGTGGGACTGGACCTTTATCTCCGGCACGTTGGCAGGCAAAATCTTTGTGCAATATTTATCGAAGGGTGAGCGGGCAGGAGAATTGGCAGCCAATGCATAAGTGAGGAATTAAAGCCACTGCCATCCTTATCTCCCAGGCAGATACGCAAGGGGAGGGGTGGACGGAGGCTGCGAGCCAGCCCAGGGCAATCGAGTTTGAAACCGTTTGTGGATTTAACAAGTCCGAACTTTATTAGCTCAAGCTGATGGGAAGCAGAGCAGAAGCCCTAAGGAGGGCAAAGC